ATACTAGAACCCCACAACTCAAAAGGTCAAATGAAAGGAAAATACAATAGTAATGCCAAGCTGAACAATTTTCATTTAAACATTATCCGACTACTATGCAGGTTTCATGAATCCAGGGGCCAACAGAGTAATGGTACATGTAGATAAAAATATCAAACATTTTATTTGAGTATTTAGTTAATTTAAGCGATTTAAAAAATTAAAGACATTTCATTTGACATAGAAAACCTGTGTAACATATAGATAAATGAACAGAGATTTCTTTTCGCATACTGTTCAAATCTATAGGTTTACTTACAACAAAAGCATGCTTATTAAATTAGTAACTCATTCTTGATAGATCTTACAAGATACCTCTTATGATATCACTCTTTCAAAATCAACTTATGTTTATTCATTAACGTAAATATTGACATTCCATATAATTAGTATAGTCACTCTTTCTCGCATCCACTAAAATAGCTTCAAGTTTTGTTGAAACATATTTTTTTAAATCGTGAAATTCTTTAGCAATGTCACGATTTTCTGTTGATGGCTTATCAGTATTGTCAGCATCCGATGACGTCACAAGATAAAACAATGGTATTATCACCAGTGAAGAAAATGCCATTGTCAGACAAGAATTCTGCAAAAAGGTTGAAATTCGACTGATTTTAGTAAATTACTAAATCAATATATATGAATAACGTAATAGTTAGATAAAATATTAAATAATTCTTGTTATCTCTTAACTCACTGTCACTTTAAACGTTGTTCATGTTTTAGCTTAGGGATTCTTTTTTCTTTCTGTATGCTATTCTGACTCTTATTGGTTAATGTTTTCCATTTATACGTATTACTTTATTTTCCCTCTCTATGCACCTGCGCATTACAATATATACTAACCAAACAGAGAAAATCTTAAGCCCAAAACGATCTAAGAAAATATTCTGCTGTTCGTCACTCGAAATTCATGGGGAAAAACAAAGAAAACATATTATAAAATGAACAAAAATTTAGAAACGATGTATTGTTTTATCATATCATAAATTTGTTAAGACTTTTCAATAAATTTTATTTAGCCAACAATACTGTTAACAGAGAAATCTTCATACAACAGAAATCCACTAAATGTGCTATAGTGGTCCCCATATATGACCTGGTCTGTCCCTGTGTTTTGTACTGAGACGTCTTCTCCTTGTCTCAGATATACAATAACGGTCTGAGAGGATTGTCCGTTATGCAAACCTAATTTTGCAACAATTGAACCATTAACAACAAAATGACCCCAGGTATCCGCTGTTTGCCAGTGATTTAATGTTACAGAGAAAACATAGGTTCCGGAGACAGGAGCCACAAATGTTCCGTGGTGTGGAATGTACCCACTCCCAATATTTGTGACAGCGTGGTCAAATATGATATCTTGGTCTTGACCCAAATGTTCAAGGTTGGATGTAATGCAACCTTGCTTTCGGCGCTTGCTCTTCTCACCATATTATGTTGACCTTAAAGATAAAGAAATCACCAGGAATTTGAACTAAAAATGTAAAACGTTTGAAATCTCTTGCGTTGTATTTTCCAGATTTTAATCATTTAATAAATAAAAATCTGTACATGTACGTCTACAATGGGCACATTTTCCATAAGTATTTGAAATATTGATGAAAATAACAGAAATATATCAAATTGATATTCTTTTTAAAAAAATGTCTTTAAAAGAATGTTCATACAGTTATCAATGAATCAGTATGAACATCTACGTATAATATTATTCTGTTCAAGAACAATATATTATCTGCTATATAAAATATGTAATATAGGATCTTGTATCTCACAACTGCCAAAGATCAAACATGACCTTTATAGACAAGTGGCCTTTATTTTGATGTTATAATATTCTATTTAATCAATGAAGGGTTGAGCTAGACTGGCCTTTTTAAATTATAGTCTTTATTTGAAAGTGGTCTGATTAACAGGTTTAACTGTATTACATCCCTTCAATTATAGACTTACCCACTTTAAGAGTTTCTATTGTAAAATTATGTAAGTGATTTTCTGAATATAAATAAAGAGTAAATTTTCTAATATATAGCTTCATTGAAACATAAATTTTAGGCTTACTTCTCTTCTTTTGGGAGACTTGTAATTTGGTAGAAGTTTCGTCGCTGTGTGATTTACCAGCACTTATAAAATCATCGTTTTTCTTTGTAGTCATTTTTTCTAGTTTTTCTTGCAGATCCTGTATTGCAAAATCCTTCATAGCATTGACAGATTCAAGCTTTTGAATTTGCATTCCTTGAGCATTTATAATATCCTCGAGTCTTTGAATGTCTCGTGCGTGGGTTTCGACCATAGCTTCAAGTTTTGTTGAAACATATCTTTTTAAATCGTCAAATTCTTTAGCAATGTCACGATTTTCTGTTACTGGTTTGTCAGTAATGTCAGCAACAGATGACGTCACGAGATAAAACAATGGTATTATCACCAGTAAAGAAAATGCCATTGTCAGACAAGATTTCTGTCTGCAAAAGGTTGAAATTCAACTGATTTTAGTAAATTACTAAACCAATATACTAGTATATGAAGAACGTTATAGTTAGATAAGAACTCTTGTAAAGGTACTCATATAGAGTTTAGCAGAAGCATTCTATGTGTTCATTATTTTATTTGTTTTCTGTCATCATCAGTAAAATAATAATATCAGAATTAAATAAACCATTAAAATATTAAATCATCAAAACCAACAATAGGAGAAACATATCAACATCGTTGTCATCATCAGCTTCAAATAATCATCACCGTCATCATTACTGTATTTCATCGTCACCTTCATCATCATCACACCATCATAATCACGGTCAGTTTTATCATGATGATTATTATCATCATCATCGCTGCTGTCGGCGTCATCGTTGCCATCTTATTCATGTGCTTGTGTTAGTGAGTTAAAAAGGGAGCTTATACAATGGTAGTTTGACTATCATGTAACGTGGATGAATGTTTGCCCAAAAAAATGGATACGTTCATCTATGCGTGTACGTGCGTTCGTGCAATTTTGTGTTATGAAATAAATAAATCCAGGTGTAGTTTGTAGCTTGCAATTATATTGAAAAGGTTAATTACAAAATTGACACCCTCATTTTAACTCTTAACTCGATGTCACTTTGAACGTTGTTCATATTTAGCACAGGGATTCTTTTATCTTTATTTATGCGATTCTAACACCAAACGACCTATCCTTGACTGAATTTATAGTCTCATTATCTGTAGCGGACAATTCAAACTTTCTTTTTACCAACAATGTGGTGCGTAGCCCTGTCTGTAACACTCGAGTTTGAGAAGTTGACAGTACACAGAGATAGAGAGGTGGCCATTTTACATGCGTGCGTGTGTGTGTTCACGAGTGCGTATGTTTTCGTGCATGTGTATGTAAAGCTTCATTTCAATTATATTTCTAGTAACTGTATACCCAAAAGATTAGTTGAGTATGCAAAACCATAAAATGTAAAAACAAAAATCATCCACAATTGGCAATAGTTACTAAAATATTTGCTCAAGATGTAAATTATATATATCAACAAATAGTTTGGTAAATTTAATTGCAATTGTATATTTATACAGCTATGATTGGACCATTATTAAGTATCAAATCAGTATTTACACTGTATATTGCTAGTGTTAACCTTCCATTAAGTAGATATTGTTACAGGAAAACAATATTGACACACTAGTCTTTCAGATGTGGATTAACAGTAATCCTAATACGGATTAAACATTAAAATACTTTCGAAAATAAACAACGGACGTTTGTAAACGGTATTTGTGCGCTGTATAAAAATGATCAAATGTGTACATATATCTTGAGAGATCAAGTTGTAGCTGAACTTGCTTATCACTGTTGCTGGTGTTGTTAATTATTCTCTCATAAAATGAAAAAAAGTGGTCCAAAGAAATTCTCTCCACATAGATTGCATAAACTGTCCTCACACATCTGCAGCGGATCAGTAATTTTTGAAGACTTATACAGATCAACAATACATTTCTTACACTAATGTTTAAGGGAAAGTCGGTGATGTTAGGTCTCCCATGACATTAGTACTTTTTGCGTACAAATAATGTAAGAACATGAAATGTTCACGTTTTATTTATTCCCAGCATAAATATGATGGATAATATCAACGGTAAAGAATAAAAGAGACGTTTTTGATAAGTGACTGTTACTTTAGAAATTCTCTTCTCCTAGACAAAAACACACTCTAGAAACTATTCTGTGACTGATATCTCAATTATGACACTTAAATACAAAACTTTTTCGAAAAAAAAAGCAAACAATTTTTCACGATAAGTGACGAAAAACTGTAGTTTATCTTACTTAACTACAGAACACGAGAAGACGTTTATTTGAATAATAGGTACATAAATGCTAAAACGTGAGGTTTACATGGATTTATGACACTGTCTCATAAAATTATTAATGAAATATTTCTAAATCCCCGGTGTCTTAAGTAAAGATTTCTCGCAATAAATCAAGTTCGATTTTAATAATCTCCTTTGGGGTATGAACCTATTGTAAAAGGTTATTTGACAGAGAGGATCCAAATTTTATAGGATTTGAAGTTTATAGTATTATAAAGTTTTAACTTCACCGTGCTATTTTAACTGCATTACAGCACGTGTTTTGATTACTCTGATAAACCCTGTTTTGTTAATGAAAACAAAAAAAAGCGATTGTTACGTAAGAACGTCCAATTCAATGGCGGACTTATTTTAAACAGAAATAAGGCAAAGAAAATACCATTTGACGCTACCGCAATAGAAAATACTTTGGATTATTAAAAACATTTTCAGAGTTAATGGAATATTGATAGTGATTTATTCACGGAAAGTTTAATCTTATTTTTGATAAATTACCGATAAAAAGTTACCAAAGAAAATGTAAATTGGAAAGATCGTCAGCAGTTACAGTTTACTTTTACTTCACTTCTAAAATATCTCACAGAATATAATTGTTCAGTTTTTCTGCAGGGCTATATAAAAGTCATATTTACCTAACGCAGGATATACGAGGATTAATAATATTGTTGTTATATGTTGTTGCTTTGAGAGATTTACATCTAGGATTAAGATACAAAAGAACAATGGTGAGCAGGGAGGTAAAAGACAAGCTAGATAGGATTCACCAATATGATCATCCGTTACGTTTGTTTGGTAGGCACAAGTTACACGTGCTCAAAGAACTCGTGAAATACTCCAAATATTCTAAAAGTAAGTTATTGTTGATGTGTGCTCTTTAAGCTTTGTTGTCGTCGTTGTTGCTGTTGTGTTTCATTTTTTATTTTTTATTTTTTGTAAGTCGTCTGATACACACAATTTAAAAATAATGTTTTAGTGGAGAGTTTGTCTTCTGTCAATAGCTCGTGTAAATTCGACAACATTCGTCACTTCCCGTAAACTTTCTGGTCAGATTAGTGTAGAACACCGGATGTGACGAAATATGTTGATTTCTTCCGGACTTGTCATGGTCACAAATTTGTCATTTCAAAACTTATTACTTAACATACATGTATACATGTATGACAAAATATTGTATTGTTTAATAACACGATGTGTGACGTCAAAATGCATGTAGACGTCCGAATACGACAATGACGATATGTGCCGAACTTTCAAAAAAGATAGGACTTATACGAAAGTATGACTTTTGGCTGATATATCATTATTAAGGTCAGAATACTGTATTGTAACATGGCCTTCGATTGGCTGCAAATAGTGCAAGGACAATCGTAAAATTCAATGGGACATCAGGTGATTAGATGAAAATGTAATGTTTACAAGTATGAACATTATATTAGAAACGAACACTACATTGTTTTCTTAAGAAAATGAACTGTTTCTAGTGTCTAGTATATTTTTCTCATTTGGATATTTGCAATTTAAAAAAGTATAATTATGTCAGTCCTGTGATAAGCAGAAGATTTCAGTGAAAGAGGGGGGGGGGGGGGGGGGGGGGGGGCAATCACTTTTTTGGTCGGTCAACCCTATATAACCAAATCAGTTTAATGTGTTAAACATGTCATTCTTCTAGCAGTAATACTCAATTTTGATTTTGGTTTAGTGGTCATTTTTTTATAATGTAAGTCTATGGGAAAAAATAGTACAGTAGTCTAACCTATAAACTGGCCTCATACTTTGTTAGGTCAACTTAAAACAAGTTACTTTACATCAAAGATAAACACTATTTAATTCTTTAAAGACACATAATGCCTCGGAAATGAATTTTTATTCCTTATTTAGATAAGGCAAACATTAGTTTTATAACGTTTAAATAGTGGTTTAAGAGCATCAACTGAAAGAAATAGCGCTGAATTCGAATGAGAAATTATTTGTCATGTAAGCAGTATAATGTAAACAAATAAGCATTTTGACTTCCATACAAAATACTAAATCACTGTAACTGTGCTATTTGCCAAAAGACAAAATAGGCAAAAGATGGTTCATGTAATTGCCCAATCAGTAACATTATAAAACACTAAAGCAGTACATCAAAAATAAATAAAAAAATCTATTTCTGTGGCATAATGGGCCTTTAAAATTTTGTAAGAGAGTTTTAATTTATGCCCAACCCCCCCCCCCCCCCCCGGACGACACCCTCAAACCCCCAACTCCCAATCCAGTTCAACAACATTTTATCTTATAGTATCATGTTGTGATATAATTCATGCAGAAAAAAAACTTGTACATGTGGCGAAAATGTTCATTGTAAAAACAATTATAAAATAACTTATATAATTTAGGCAATTCATTTATAACGTTATTGATATTTCTGCAAATGTCGACATCTGTACATGTTTTTAAGGTTAGTGACACACATTTATGTGACATGTATAAAGATAAGCTCCGAAGATCTACATGATAATGATCATTATAATGGTGACATATTTTATTTAAAGCAGACATAAGCACGAGTTACACTTTAAAGGGAATCCATTTAGGTTATTGACATAAGGCGACTGGAAATATTTTTTCGACATGAATGTTCCCTGACGAATAACTTATGTGCAAACTTCAGATCAGTACGTCGCTCTGATTAATAAAATGACTGAAATTAAAAGGCGTTGCAACGCTTTTCACAAAATCTGGGCTTTAAATAGCTCAAAATACGATTTTTTTGTATATTTCTTAAATATCTTTTGTACATTTTTCGGTTTTAACTGTCCAGGCTTATTTATGTAAGAAATGCATATGCTTTTGGACCTCAGTAGAGTTCCTTTAAATAATTAACGGTACAATACATCGTCCCTGTTCTGCATTCTGTGAACATAGCTCTCACTTGTTTATCTTTCCATTCAAAATTTAGTACAATTTAAGTTGAAAATGGGGAACTTCCTGTGTTTGATATCTCCAAGACTTTTTCTGCTTTTATTAGGACACGTGTACTAAGTGTTACGTTTGACAGCTGGTTATGGAACGCCAAAACTGCCACTGTTATGTTGTCATATTGCATTATTGTGCATACATATTTTTTTTTATAAATGTGACATCATCACTCAGCTTTGGGCATTTTCTAAAAATTCTTTAAATTTAACTGATTAATGTCAAATTAGAACAGCACTGACATTGCGTTTTGTAGATATGATGGGTTTATAGAAACCCTTTGAACGATAAGCTTGTATACAAAATACGTCCAAACAATCAAATTTAGCCTTAGATTAATGTCATTTATATGACAACTAATTTGCGACACATGCACCTTCCCCACACAAGATAGTTAAATTTCACATGAGTATATATTTACCTGTGTATATTATCTAAAATACTGTAAGTCACTCGTTCTTCAAAGACAATATAAAAACCAACTGTGCAAATCGGTCTAACTACGGTTCAAAAGTTATTTTAGCATATACATGTACTGTAAAAGTTCCTGCATGATCATTAGAGTGAATTGGTCTATTATCGAAGATCTGTAATACAATAAATAACAAGAAAAGCATTGATGCAAAGCATCAAAGGGCGTCCAAGCAAGAAATGCAGAAAGTGAAGATGAACTAGTAGACATATGATGTCAAGATATTCTTATAAACTTTTCAATTGTTAAATGGTTTTTACCAAAATGAACGGACGGAAGACTTTGTTCATTATGAACTTTGATTGGCAACGGGTCATTTATAATCCATACCCATGTGTAATGCATGATCAACACCACACTTGTGGAATTGTCCCTTATTATGCATTTCGCTATTAGCGAGGACCCCCTCTTAAGGTATCTGTTCACACTTAGTTTTTGTTTGTTTGTTTGTTTTGGGTTTTACGTCACATCGACACAGTATAGGTCATATCGCGACGTTCCAGCTTTACTGGTGGAGGAAGACCTCAGGTGCCCTTCCGCGCATTATTTCAGGCACGAACTGGTACCCGAGTAGAACCACCGACGTTCCGTAAGCTAGCTGGATAGCTTCCTCACATGAAAGAATCCAAAGTCCCTGTCGGGATTCGAACCCACAGGGGTGAGGGGCAAGTGGTTTGAAGTCAACGACCTTAACCACTCGGCCACGTCACACTTAGTAAAAATATGACACTGGTTATATTACATGTCATGTTGAGCATTATTGTTTATTATACAATAATTGTAATATCTATTTTAATAACAAAAATACAGATTTTATAAATATTGTTTTCCTCTCTATTTTTGTGTTTTTATGTTTTATGTGCTATTTTAATACTGAGTTTTTTACGTTTACTATTCTTTTTTATTAAAATTGTAAAATAAATTTTAAGAATTCAAATGTCATATTGACCGACGATTATAAGTCAAAACTTAACTGGAAAAAGTCAGTAAATTATGGTTAATCTTTCAATATACAATATTGTTTATTCTTAAACCATGTACATGTACATTTGTATTTTTCTTTATCATTTTTTAAATTATCAATCAATCAAATAATTAATAAAATCTAATTTGTAACTTTGAATTATTCCTCGGCATCTTTACTAAACACGAATAACAAATTAAATAAAATGTTTCAAAGTTGATAGTTTCAAAGTTGATAGTGTCATATTAAAACCATAAACATGTACCTTTTTTCACAATTATTGTACATATTTATTGTTTTTATCTCATATAGATAAAATGAAACTTGCTATTGTTGTTGTTGTTGTTTTTTTCGAATTGTATGTTTACGTATAATAATAATCAATATATTTAAGAGTTGATCTATGTTTATTAATAAATAATAATAATAATAAACGTGTGATACTTTTCGCCGTTCACTAGTATCACGGTCAAAATAGACCGGGAGAGACCGGAATACCGATCTATAAATAGATTTTCGGAATATTTAGGTCATCAACTCATCATTCTATTTTAACATACCATGATAACCCACTGTGTACTACAAAATGATAAATAAAAAACCGAAGAGACGGAAAAGGTTATTGCATTTGAAAATGTTTGCATTGCGAAATCCTCTAGTTCGCTATTCATTGTACATATCGCGACATTTCATTTTTAATAATTAATAATGATCAAGCATCCCCATACCGATCGGAATGATCGGCTTTTATTATTACCGACTAAAAGGCTCGAGAAGTTGCTGTCGCCCTTTCACAAAATCTGATTTCATTCCATAAAGGGGCAATGATAGTCTAAAGTATGAGACATAACAACAAACCGCGATACATGATGGGATAGTTCATATATTTATTTAGCGGATAATAAAGTGTTCCTGAACAAAATATTATCATTCATCACATAAACGGTTTATTCTGCAACGCTTAGAATTCTATTGGCATTTTGTTTTTAATCAACATTTCATAAGGATATTCAAACAATACACTATTTTCAATTTTTTTTATCAATATTTGAAATAATTATGGAAAATGTATATGTGCCCATAGTAGACCTATTCGTTTTAAATTGTACAGTGATCAACATGTTCTTCCATTTTCAAACAAAAAATTCTTATATATCACCAGAGTTTGCAAATCTGTGAGAGGGCACATCGCGCCGGAAAAAAGTACATGATCATTTTAATTTTCCTTCGATACCAAAATCTTAAAAATAATACAACGTTAACAAACGTTTTCTTCTTCGCGTGTGCTACTGGAGTCCTCTCCTATGCTGAAAGGGAGATAATTCTGGCTTCCAAAACTTTATAAAGCGCTTTTTATCATTTTTCTATCTAATCTGATGCGACATTGCTATAGCATATAAACGGGTACACTGTAAACCTTAAGCTCAAAGGGAGACAACTATTTAGTTTTCGAGA